CAAGATGTTCATGTGAGAGATCAAGAAGACCGACAAGAGAAGAATGTCCTATTAAGAGATTAGAAATTAACGTCTCATTATTATACAAAATCTTTGTGAAGGAGGCATATTCCTTTTTATGACTAAACAAGTAATTTTACCTTCCAATGTCCAGATATTTGTTCCATCCTCTAAATTCCAAACCTTTACGGTACCATCCATACTACCACTCATACATCTTTTGCGTTTATCATCCAGTACAACGGAATACACTTTCTGAGTATGCCCATGTAATCGCCAAATACATTCACCGCTCATAATGTTCCATACTCTGACAGAACAATCATAACTACCACTAACTAAAGTGTTGCCGACACCCGCTAAAGCACGGACAGAATGGGAATGTCCGGAAAGCGTACGTATATAATAGGGATTATTATCATACTGTGTATTATCAGAAGGTGACGAAGGGATGGCAGGGTGAAATGGTTGATCCGTTTCAAGGTTCGGAAGACGCCATACTTTCAAAGTCGAATCTCTCGAGCCGGTAACAATCAGCGGAATTTGTGGTTCAACAATTTGTGGTTCATTGGGATTAGTATTAACATTTTGCGGCATTATGATTTGAAGGCAACGAACCGTACTGGTATGTCCTGGGAATACATGAGTACATACACCAGTTTCAAGATTCCATACGCGCACAGTACGATCTGTAGAACCTGATACCAACGTTTTATTTACATATTGTAATGCCCATACGCCTCCATCATGACCAACGAGTCGATTAATCAATCTACCAGTAGCAGTGTCATAAACATTGATGCACTGATCATCAGATCCTGAGATAATCTTCTCAGAATCAAACTGTAGACATGTAACAACATTATTTCCATGACCGGGAAATGAAATATGTTTATGCCGTCCATGTAGCCAATTTTGTCGCATAAGGTAATGACGACGATAGATAGCTTTATAAGGATGATCGGCCGAGGGTGATAGCGGGAGCCTATCTTCAGAAAGTTCAGCTCGGTCACTACTTTCTTGAGACATTGCATCAACATCGCTATCGTCCCCATCATAAGGTCGGTCTCGATCATCATCTTGATGAGGTTCTGGTTCATCCACTATATAACTATTCCAATCCACATCAGCCTTGGCCTTTCCTTTATCTTGTTGTGATGAAGAGTAGTCTTTATCAAACAATGAAGAGCTGGCACCTGTTGAAGAAGAAGGTTCATCAGTACCTGTTGGTGAGAGCGTGTATGAATCTTGTAAAATATCATGATCAATATTATCTATTTCCAATTCATTACTTTTTTCAATTATTATATAATCCAAATCATCGACAGCCATATTATTATTGTCATTTTGATTATATGGTGTTAACCTCGAAGAATCTTCTATTTTATCTTCGTTAACAACCCTCATATTATCCGTATCATCATCATCAGCTTCTACAACAGTTCTTTCTTCAGAAGACGACGTACCACTTTCGTTATTGTTATTGGCACCATCTAGATGCCTGCTTCTATTATGTGAACAATTTATTGAACGTAAAAGTCCCCAATTTTCGGAAATGGCACGTTGTTCTTCCGATTCATCAACACCAAAACCATCCTTCATAAGACGATGTTGCCATGTTAAACTATCTCCATCTATTACATTTCTCCACCTTTTATTTACTTGAGCCGCTTTACACATACTAGCGGTATCTAAATACTTTACTATGTGTAAACTAAGTTCGAGAGGAAGCATCCCAACAAAATCCTTTCTTAATGCGGGTAAGATAATATTGCTGACGTATTGAAGGGTGTTTGTAGGACAACGTCTTAGAAGTTGAAAAAGCATGTAAGATTTCATTGACGATGGTAAGGCATCGAATGTCGCCAACATGGTATTCAAATCCCAAAGGTTAGGAGTGTGAGCTGAATCAGTCGCTAAATTGTTTAATTGTTGTATATTCCAACTATCATTATGGTTCACTGAAGCAATAGGTTCATCAACGGTTATGTCATCATCTACATCATTGTGATCAGCAAAGAAATTATCAAATTGGTTTGTCCCATTTGAAGGAGCAACTCCTGCAATAGGAGAAAGGGATGGCGATGGTAAAGCCGAAGAATGGGTACTTCTTGTAGTCGAAGGAGTATCCATGCCGAGGTTCGATGTGGAAATAGTATTATAATGTCTTGAAGTAATGGTAGAAGGAGTTGATTGAAGAGCCATCGGCATGATCGATGATGAAGCTTCCTGAACGTTGCTCATGGGAGTTCTCAGTATATTTACTTGATTAGAATTGGGGGTACGAAGTTCGTAATCCATCAATTGCTTTTGTGAGACCAGCTCGCTTTCTTGTTCTGGTAAATTTCCGACAGCCTTTGCACGAACCTTCTTATGTGGTGGAGATAAAGACCTATGAGAAAGCGAACCGCTGCTACTATTTGACTGTTGCTGGTCGACAGTAGAAGTTGTGAAATCGCATGATGATGAAGGTTCAACAGGTGATGCGGGTCTTTTACGAGCACTAGTACCTGTAGTTTTCAATTCCGAATAATTATCATTAAGCGATTGATGTTTTAAATTGGAACTAGTTTGAACTGTTTTTGATGTTGAAGTGGTTGGACCAGAGGCTCGCATATTATATAGGGCTTCTTGAAGCTAAACGTGTTATCAAAGAAGGGAGTGAATTTGACAAACATTAGTAATTATATTCAAAGGAGCGAAAAAAAATTTTTTTTTTTTTTTTTTCCCCATCCATAATTTAACAATTATTAATTATGCTTCTTATGATATATACCAGGTATCATCAATATATGATTCAAACAAAGGAACAAAACAAAAGTCCTGAAATGATATGATAACCTTGGAAAAACGCAGATGAATAAACTTAATGATATAACTAATTTTGAACAAAGTTTAACACACCTTAACAATTTGTTGTTCGGAATCTTCATCCTCACGAATATAAGCTGGTTGACCATTTAAATCAAAACAAAAACGTTTCAAAGCAGGAGGAGTTGGAGTATCAGCAAGAGGATATTCCTTTGGATCTAAATGTTTAGGTAAAGGGGGTGGCTTCAATAACAGTGGAGGAAAGGAAGTTGTCGTGGTGGTAGTGGTTGTGACCACGGTGGTGGTAGTAGTAGGAGCCAAAGAAATGTTGGCAACAGTTGGTAATCTAAATTGAGCGGAAAGATTTTCTTTTGAAGAAGGAGACGATGTCGTTGACTTTTTACTTGAGTTGAGAGGCGACATTGGAGTTGAAGGTGATGGTGATTGACAACCTTCAGAAGTAATGTTAGTGTCTACTTTAAAGGTTGAAGATTTGCTGTTTTTCATTGCTAGGGGTGAAACCAAATTCACTATTAAAGTAAACGAAAAACAGATATCGAACAATCTTTAACAAGTAAAGATGAGTTCCCAAACGTAAAAAAAATATAGTTTATATATTTTTATTTATCTGCTTGAGACTTCAACAAGTTATATAGCAAAACTATAAAATATAGTAGAGATATATATATATATGAATACTGCCACCCGAAAAAGCTCAATAATGAGAGTATTATATGTATTATTATTTGATATACCCTATAAAAATACTCATATACTTTTATTAATTTGGACTTCTATTTGTTTCGTTATGATTAATGATTTCAGTTATAAAGAAAAAAAGTTTGTAGAAAAGGATAAAAAAAATGATTTCTGGGCTTTTGGCTTTTTTTTTTTTTTTTTTAAAAAAAAAAAAAAAAAAAAATTTAACACGATGATTTGTGGAAAAGCAGGGAGGGAATAGGTCGGGCAAATATGAATTAGTAGGTTTTTTTTTTGTATGAAAAATAATGAAATAAGGGATGGAGGGACAAATATAAAAGACAGGCTTAAGCGGCGAAGACATAAACAGATTTTGGGCAGAAGTTATTCACGACTATGTGTTTAACTAACCAAATACGTCATTTTTGTTTCTTTATGTTACACATTTTAGCAATATTTAGAAGCTAACACAATAGATTTAAACAATTAACAATTACTATAATTGCTGTGAACAGAAGTTTTTTCACGATTATACATCTCGTGATTTTTTTTCAAAAATTGTTGGTATAACATAATCACATAATCGCGGGGATATCCATTTGTCATCCCATTTAAATTTTATTGCTTCATGATTCATGAACAAACATCACACATGCTTGAAGATCACGGAATATGCGAATATGCTGCGGTTTGTGCTGAAACAATCAATGATCTTCATCTTTTGTTCTATAAATAAGTGTGGTATCATGTGAAATAAAACGCGTATCATTTTCGCGTTGGATCATAGATGGATTAACGAGCGAATCTGATTCTGCAGTTTCTTTTATCATGGAAACTCGTTAAAAAAAAAAAAAAAAGTGTACATACTATACTACAAAAAGTTTTTTAATTTATTTGTTTTTTGTGAAAATAAACTTCTCTTATTGATATTAAAATATTCTTTTTCGAAAAAAAATATATAATATTCTTATTGGTAATGATTAATTACGTGAAAAAAAAAAAAAAAAATCAATAATTAATACAAATCCAATTGTAAAATAACATGCGAAATGCAAAATAAATAGTCTCGTCAACGCTAATTGTTTTTGAATGGGTGATGCTTTTTTATGAAAATTATGACAATAATGGAGGCAAAGGCAGATACTACAAAAACGAGTTAAAATGTATATACAAAAACAACCACTATTCCAATCTAAAAAAAAGCCAAGCCGCCAATATAAAAGAAATGTCAATTGTTCAAAAGAAAAAAAAAAACTCAAAAAGAGGGAAAAAAGATTTCGAGGAAAAAAAAAAAAAAATGGAAAAAAAAAAAATTTAACAAAAAAAAAGAAAGTTCATCAAAATACTAAGAATATTTTTGTATATTACAAGAGTTTTTTTTTTCTGTAGGCCTGCCTTTTCAACAAAAAAAAAAAGTGTATATGTATTTTTATCTATAATTTTTTTAGGTTTAAAGTGTCCATTGTTCCAAATTCTTCCCACATTATATATTATTTAGCTTTAAGATCAGTCATGGAGGATTTTTTCATAGAACTACTTCCACTTGTAGTATTACTAGTACCAGAAGACAAATCTCGATTAACATCGCCTAAAAACGAAACACCTTTATAAAGAAACGCATCAAATTCCGAAGAATCACCACTTCGATTATTTCTTGGTTGACTACAAAATTTTTCGGTATCATGCATTCCAGCATTTGGCTCAATTTCATATAATGTTGGTGATCCAACAAGTGTTGAACGTCTTGAAGGATTAAATGACGGTGAAACCAATGTTGAAGCTGATATTGGTATTGTATTTAACGTGGCAGACGTTATGGATGATGATGGCGACGAAGTTAATAATCCTCCATCATGTATACCACTAATCGAAGGCTTCCTTGATTTTCCTGCTAACTTTAATAAAGAGGGTCTACGTTTTTGTTGCGGTTTAACAGGTACTTGTTGCACTTCTTCTACGGGAATTGGTGGTTTTAAAGATGAAGGACGTCTCTCACGAATATGTGTATTGATAGTTAAATCGGGTTTATTTTTCGAAGGTGAAACAGGTGAACTTAATGACACATTTTCAATCGGTTCTGCGGTGACAGTATGTAATAATAAATTAGGTGTTCCTGTATTATTGGCAACATTGTTATTATTACCACTTATGTTAGGACCACCACCACTGTTTATTATTTCAATATCATCGTCAAAATGTCCAGATTTACGATCTCCTGGCGTTGTCACTTTACCGGTAGCGATATCAACTATGTTACCAGCTGACAATCTTCTAATATCAGCTCGATTATTCCGTGCTTCAAAATAACTTGTGTCTTGTTCATCTTCAGGATTTGGCACAAAGGGTGCAGGTTGTTGCCTTATATGTTCCCAATCAATATCTTTAAAAAATGTATGAGATTTAATTTCTGATACAGAAGGCCTTTTCTCGGGATCTTGATTTAATAATTTTGTTATTAAGTCCTTTGCTTCTGCTGATAAATATCCTTCCGGCGGCCATTGTATATCATGATTTAATATATTTCTAAATATTGCTTGTGGTGTATCATCATTAAATGGTGGATATCCTATTAAAAATTCAAATAAACATACTCCTAATGACCACCAATCAACGGCTGTCGTATGTCCAATACCAAGTAATAATTCTGGTGCAAGATAATCTGGCGTTCCCAACAATGCTTTAGAACTTTGTCTGTTTTGCCGTTTAGCTGATTTTGATGATGTGCTGTGTGTTGCCGTATTACTTGATAATGATTTTGATGAATATTTACTATTATCCAATCCTTGAAAATTCACATGCCCTCCTTTCTTCGAAATTTCATTAGGAAATACTGCAGAAACTGGTCGTGTATGAGACGTGCTTGCTCTTGAATCTACACTACCTGACCTTAAACTTTTTGCAAATGATTTTTTACCATTTGGCGATTCATTTTCTTCTTTAACAAATGCTAAGGAACTCTTTTCGGGTATAGATATTCTTGATAATCCAAAATCTGTTAATTTTATATGTCCTTCTGATGTAATAAGCATATTATCAGGTTTTAAGTCCCTATGTGTAATTCCGTTATTATGTAAATATTCAAGAGCCAATACAACTTCCGCGGTATACATCCTTGCCATTTCTTCTCCAAATTTTTCAAAACATTGAAGTAATGATGACAAATCACCACCAATTAGATATTCCATAACCTAAAAATTGCATGTTGTTACTAATAACATATATATTCAAATAAAAAATTGAGGGGAAAAAAAGAATCTCACGGTACTCACCAAGTATAAATAATCTTGACTTTGAAATGCATAATAGAGTTTTACAACAAACGGAGTCCTTGATAAACTAAGTACTCGACGTTCTGCCAATACATGATTTACCATGTTTTTACGTACCATGTCTACTTTTTTCAAGATTTTTATAGCATAAAGATCTCCTGTGGTTTTTTTTCTTGCCAAATAAACTTTACCAAATGCACCTCTACTGATTGGTTTAATGATTTCAAAATCTTGTATACTTGGTATTTTAGTCTTTGATCCTATTTTTTCTCCATTTGTGACCGGAGTACTAGGTGCTATACCGTCTTTATTGAGTGATGAATTACTAGTACTACGATTGTTTCCTCCGCGTAATACTGCTGCAAAAAGTGATATCAATTTTTTACCACCTTTTGGCGCTGGTGGTGTAAAATCTGAATCTATTTAGACAAATCGAAGAGAGAAAGGACAAAGTAGTGAATAAAATAATTTATATGGGTTATTTAAATCAAAACTATACTGTCTCACCGTAACAAAACAAATGTAAATCCCTCTTTTGGCAAAGAAAAAATCATGTAATAAATATAAAACTACAAATCATACCAATTTCAAGATGCATCTTACCGTAGGATACCGAACCGTTACTATCTTGTCGTTTATGAGACGATGCAGAACTACCATCTTTATGACCACTATTATTACGATTCCTATCGGATCTTGATTTATAACTTGTAGACATTTTATAAGTAGCTGACGTCGATAAGCGGCTTGACACCGATTGTTTCCTATTAACTTTTGCTGGTATACGTAAACCTTCTCTTTCGATTCCCGTAGTAGCAGCTACAGCAGCTGCGGCTGCAGCTGCAGCAATAGCGGATGTTGTTCCTGCATTTGACAATGCATTTGTTGAACGCAATTTTTGATAATAAGAGCGAAGTGTATCATGTTTCTCTTGAACCTACAATTTAATCGTAATATTAAAGGTGAGTAATTATTGTAGATAAATAAATATTTATTTATATTTATAGTTAAGAAATGTTGAATTACACACCACATGAAGCAATCTCTTGCCAGAAGTCAAAATGTAATCATCTCTGGCAGAATTTTCATCTCTGGCAGAGTTTTTCTCCATATCATCGACTACTCTTCCCAATTTATTCGCATATTTGTCGCTTTTACGAAGAGCTTCACGACGATTCATCGTTTCTTTAAGTTCGGCAGCCCTATAAATAAATGATAAATAAAACAAAGAATATTAGAAAAGAAATAACCGATTTTTTTTTAAAAAAAAAACAATTCAATGACATCATATTTACTTTAAACCAATTTCCTCCATCATTTCAGCATCTTTTACACTGTAATAATCTTGATAAAGCGTATTTCGTTCCTAAAGGTAAAATTAAAATTAAAGATAACATCAAAACAAAAGGTAGAGTAATGGACCAACGAATCCTTACCAGTATCTCGGCCTTTCTTTTAGCTACATCACTCACTAACCTACGTAATCTACCATCACATTCTTGCAATTTAATTGCATAATCGGTGGTGACAACGCAAATTTCGGAATGTGCATCCAATTCATGACTTGGTATCATTTCTTCACAAATACGACAAAGTATATAATCATACATTGAAAATCCAGAATTAATTGTATTAGGTACACTGCTTGGTATTATAGTATTTGTAGTATTATTATTATTATTTTCCACGACACCTCTCAGCGACATTGAAGAACTACGTCGTGATAATGTAAATGCTTGCGAATCGAAAGAGAGCGATCTAGATTTTTCTGGCTGTGGTGGTTTAGGTAAATGTGTATTACGCATCGGACTGGGTTGAACCATTGATCTAGTCGGAGATCCTGTAGGTGACACACTTGTTGACGATGTCGGACTATGAAATGCATTCTTCAAAGACTTTAAAAAGTTCATGACTGGTCTCGACTAAAAAATTGTAAGAATAAAATAAATAAAATTGCAATACGTACTAAATTATAAATAACTAGTTTACCTTTTTGGCCTTCTTCTTTGATTCAGGGTCAATATCTTCTTGTTGTTTTTTAAGTATAATACCAAAATCAATTTCTCTATTCATCTCCTCATGAAGTAACTGATCAACTTGTTTTCTGGTTAAACTGCTCCAAGTTAATAGATTATCGTCCATGCATGGACGTGGTGGAGGTACATACATTATAGGGCTTTCAAATATGGCTTCGTTTGCTGATGCACGTCTTTGTTCAAGTGAAACTTTGAATGATGAATGTTGTGTTTTAATTGGAGTAGACACATGACGCGCAAGTGGTGAACTAAACGCAGGCTGCGGCGGTAATAGTGAATTAAGCTTACTATCCATTTCACCGCTTGTCAAAGATTTTCTTTTCTCTTGCATTTGTAAAATCGTACGTGGGGGTGAATATGATGACGGAGTCACCGGAAGTGAAGGTGAGGGCAAAGGAGAAGGTGACCATTCTGAACCTGTAGTTGGCATATCATCTTTATTACCGCCGTCTCCAGATAATTCTGGATTTGTTTCGGTAAATGAATGATTCTATTTTAAAATTTGAAAAGGGGATGGAGAAAAATTATTACAGAATTAATTTTACAAAATTAATTGGCTATTATACTTACCACTGCTTCTACAGCTCTCGTTACATCTGCAAAGACATAAACTAACTTTGTCAAAAGCTCTTCAGCATCTGCATTACCTACAGCCATATTTCTTTGTGCTTTCATAAGTTCCTGTAATTCCTTCATGATTTCTACCGCAACATTGAAATTCAATAAATCATGAACTACCGTCTTTAAAATACGACGGGCTATTCGATCAATTCGAGTCAATAAGAGCGTATGTGATGAAGCTAAAAAAAAAAAAGACAAACTTTAGAAACTGACATTCATTATGTGTCTAATTTAAGGATCTTTTTGAATATTCCTCTAAAATTTAAGATAATATGTATATTTCTTTTTTAGATAAATTTTTTTCCCATACCCGGCTGAATCAAAGCAGTAAATTTCGAACATTAAATGATCCAAAAATTTGCAATTTCAAATAAAAATAATTATAAAAAGGGAAGAAAATATTCTCTCTTAAAATGAGAAAATGTATCAAAAAAAAAAAATTGGTAGTAAAATTATCAACAAAATAAATATATAAATATATCTATCTTTCTATTTAAATATAATCTTTCTCCCTTATATTAATTCACTTACCCAAAATAGATTGAGGCCAACTATTAGAATGAATTAATCTTCTTTCGGACGCTTTTCTTTGAAAAATAATATCTTTAGGTTTAGTATCACCATGTAAAGATATTGATTCCATTTTATGAGTAATTTGTTTATTGTTATTATTATATTGCGCATATGTTGTTGGTGATATTGATGGAGTTAGTAACTTTTTATGATTTGATGGTAAAGATGCTTCATCATCAGTGTCACTAATCAAAGCAGAATCATCATTGTTATTATTATTATTAGTTTTATGATTACCACCACTTCCTCTATTGTTATTATTACCACTAGCAGATTTACTTAAAGTTCTTTGAGAGTTACTTCTACGAACAGCTATAGGAGAAGATTGCTTGTCATCATCATCACTCCAACCATCATAAAAGAGTTCACTTAATAATTCTTGATACTGATAAGATTGATACCAAGTTTCCAAGATTTGCATAATACTTTTATCAGCACGACATTTTGTTTCTTCAAGATCTTTTAATAGTTTTCGTTTCACTTTAGGAAAAGTGAATTCGGGAGAACCTTCATCAATAATATGTAAATTACTTAAATGATTTTCTTCAGCATCAACAGATAAGTCGGGAAAAAATCTGTGAGTAGGAGATCTTTGAAAAGAAGGCCTTCTTTTCATTGAAGAAGATAAAACAAGAGAAGATTGTTCATCATTTGTAACATAAGCATCAGAGTCGGTTTCTATCGAATCAGTTTCAGAATCTGAATATAATGAATTAGGATTTGAAGGATAATTTTCGGATTTCAAATTCAACAAACGTTTGAGTTGTGAACTAGCACCGCTGGGACGACGCTGCATGGGTTTAGTTGTTTTTTGTTGACATAATGAAGTAGAAGTAGTAGTAGATATATCATCATCACCACCACCAGCAGATCCTAAACCTGGCGAAATTGGAAAAAGTTGTTGTTGGGGGTGGTGAGAATAGAAAAGAGACTGCGGAGAAGAAAATTGTGGCTGTGAAGCTGAGGAAGAGTTTGAATTGAGTTGATGACATGTATAACCTATTGTCGAATTTGTTGGTGCTGAGGTGGTAGTTGTTGGTTGAGGGAAAACTTGATTTCCTTGTAAAGAAGTAGTTATATTACTTGATCTTCCAGAAAAAACTACTAAAGATTGATGCCTTTCCCTCGTATAAAAAGGGAAATTTGTTGTTGAAGTATCAGAAGTGGATGAAGCAAAGAGAGGAGAGTTTAAAGAGCTACTACTAGAGATTGAACCAGTTCCAGGCGAAGAATAATCAAAGTCTTCAAAAGAAGACCTATTACTTGTATCACTTTCAGTGGTAGTAGTAGTAGGCGTTGAGGGAGAGTATAAAGGTGAGTTACTACTACTACTGTTATTATTAGTAGTAGGAGAATTTGTAGCAGCTGGGTAAAGATTTGATTGAGCACGAGGTTTTATTGAAAGAGACTTCTTGAGTAAACTTTGACTTGAATTGGAGGTAGAAAGACTTCTACGAGTTCTTCTCAATTTAGCAAAATTCTCTTCAGCCATATTATTATTATTATTATTATTAGCAGAGGACGGCGATGACGAAGAAATATTTGAGAAGGTATTTGTATTAGATGTATTAGCTTGTCTTTGTTGTTGAGGTTGAACTGCTAAATTAATATTTGTTGTGGTAGATAAAGAAGCTGGTAGACTATTTGGGACAGTATGTTCACCAGGCAGAGAACGCGATAGTAACGGTCTCCGGTTTTCTTCTTCGTGCATTGTATTTTATTTTATTTTTTTTTGAAAAAAAGAAAGTCTATATTTTTTATGGAGAGATCTCGAAAAAGTCAAAGGAAAAGAGAAATATGATATATATATATGTGGTTTTATTGTGGAAAAATACAAACCAAATACCGCTACTAAAAGGGGACTAGTTTTTTTAAAAAAATGGGGACATATGTATATAATGTGGTAAAAAAGTCAAAATAATAAATAAAATATTTTAAAACAAAGATGTAAGAAAAATTTTTATTCTCGTCAAAGAAAGAAAATTAATATTTTTTTTTGGGGGAAGAAATTAAGTTTGCGAAATAAAATCTCTGATAATAATCAACAAAAAATTTTTTTAAGAAAAAGAATTTTATTGTATAACAACAGAACAAGATAATTCCGCAGTGTTGTAACACTACTAATGGAGAAAATGGAGAATTTTCACTCTTACTATAACATATAGTATAAAATATGACAGTCTATGCTTTTTTTGTGGTAAAGCAAGGAAAAATAACGGTTTGAAGAAACTTGTATTTAAATATGACGCCACAAAAATTTTCAGGGGCCCAATTTGAAAACGCCACAGTTTTTCTAATTTAACGCATATGCGATTCAAACAAAGCGACGAATTATTCAAGAATTTTTATATTAAAATAAAAATATTTATAATTATTTATGTAAAAAATGTAAAAAAAAGAAATCATATGAAAATGATTGCTAAGAAAAAATGGTTTTGGAATTATTTAAAACGCTACTACCCTTTTATTATACTTTATCTTTCTCTATATTTTATCAAAATCACATTGTACTTTATATTTCTTTATTTTATTAAAGTCGGTATTGTTTAATAAAAAAAAATTAATCTAAAAATAATTTTTTTTCATACTAAAATATTTTGTATTTGACCAAAATAATTAAATCTAAATTAATATTAACTTTATATTTTTAAAGATAATTTACTTAAACTAATAACTAAGTTTAGTTAATAACTAAAAGAAATTAATATTATATTTTAATTTAAATTTATTATATATCATATAAATTTTATTTTTTTTTTAATTTTAATATTATTATATATTTTAATATTTTAATATAATTAAAAAATTCTAACATTAAAAATCTATAAAAAAAATATATAATTTTAATTAGTAATTAATTATTTTAAAATATAATTTAACATTTATTTTCTTTTATTATATAATAAGTATTTAAAATAGTTTATTAAACTGATTAATATTATTAATTTATAATATAATTAAAAGAAATATAAAATTAGATAAATTATTTTTTTAATAAATTTAATATTTTATAATAAAAAATATAAATTATTTAATGATTTTAAATTTTATTTATAATAAAAATTAATAATATTCAGATCTTTTACAAAACTATTTATAATTAATATTGGATTTTAAAATGAAAAACTTATAATATTTAGTGATATTTTTAAAGTATTTATAATTATAAAAAATATATTATATATAATATTAATTATAAATTTTAAGAATTTTAAATAATATTAAATATTAATCTTTTTGATATCTAATAATTATAATTAAATAAATTTTAATATATAATATATTAATTAATATTATATTTTTTTAAAAATCAAAATCAATTTAATTTAAATTACTTATTAATAAGATTTTTAATAAAATAATAAAAATTATTAGTCTTTAATATTAACTTTTATACTAATTATTTTAAAATTAAATTAATTTAAAATTTAAAATAATATACTAATAATATAAAGTAAAGTTTATTTAATTTAATTTATTAATTAATTTAATTAAATAATAAATATGAGATTTTATAATAGAAAAAGGAAAAACAGTTGAAAAAAATCAATTGTATTTTATATAAAAAATATGATTTTTAAGTTAAAATATATTCAAATTTAGTATTAATTTATTTTTTATTTTTTCTGACTATTTTTTCTTTTTTTTTATTATAAAGGTCTCATATTATTTTATATAAAATTATTAAATAAAATTAAATTATTTTAATAATAAAATAAAAAATTTGAAAATTTTAAATTATTAGATCAATCATAAAAAGATAAGTGAAAAGAAATAAGATAAATATTATTCTTTAAACTATAAATATAAAAATTATTTCTAAAACATTTTAGAAAATTTAAAATATTTTGATATCTAATGATTATAAAAAAATGAAATAAAATTTCTAGATTTATCATATTATAATATATCTAATAGTATTATTTTTAAACTTTTAAATTTATAATTATTAATATATATTAAATTTTTAATTTTTTAATTTTAAAAATAATTTATTATTTAATAATTATAAAAAAGTGATCAAGAATTTTTATATAAAAAATGTGTACATTTAAGAGTAATCACAGCTTAGCCTATAAATAATAAATAAAACTCTTTTTTTAAACTTCTTTCTCTCTTTGTTCTTCTTAAATCCTCTTATTTCAAAAAACAGTTTTTGTTAGTCTAAATAGTGGTATTTTTTTATTAAAATATTTTTTTCATCACTTCTCATAACTGTTTTTTTCACTTTTTTTTCTTTTTCTTTTTGCTTATAAAAGCAAGCATCAGGGAATATTCTAAATAATAATCAGGATTGATAATAACTTTAGATCAACTAATTGTACATGATAAATAGAAATAGTCATGTGATATACATTTAAAGATAAAATTATTATGTGAAAAAATCAAAAACTTCTTACATATGTAGAATTTAGAAAATGCATTTAGTATTTAAATTCTAAACTTGAAATCAAAATATTATATGCATTTAAAAAGGTGTATATTTATAGAAAATGCATTTAGAAAAGTCTAATTATATAATAATTACATTAAATTTATCATATAAATCTGATCTAATTTATTGACAAATTAGTAATTAAAATATTTAAATAAATATATTTATTACATTAATAGAAAAATTAACAAATTTTATTAATTTATTATTAAAAAAAACTTAATATAAAAATTTAATAATATTAATTTAATAAAATATTTAAAATTTAATATATAAAAATTATATCTTTTAAAATTTTTCTTAAAAATTCAATTAATATAAATTAAGAATTATTAAAAAATATAAAAAGTAATAATTAGAGTATAATAAATTTGCTAATCTTATAAAATTTTTAATATTATAGAGGGTACTCAAAAGTTTTTGAATGACTTATTAAATAATTAATAACTATAAAAAAGAATGATTAACATTTAGTTTATTTATATAAATATATTATATTTACATATGATATCATAAATCATCTGATTTGTTTACTTCACCATGCTTCACAAAAAAAGAAAAACACAAATAAATTAACTACAGAATAATGTTAAGTGATATTTTATTATTGTCAATATGAAGATTTATACCAAAAAAATTGCTGAAACTGTTGGGTATGAAAAAATAATAGTTTTTAATACATTAAAATAATATGATGAAACTGATTCTATAGATTCTAAGTATTGATTTAGATGATTAATAATAACCAGCTTAAAAGGTTTAAATATTTAGTAATAAATAAAAAAATACAAACTGGCAACTATATGTTACTGGAGTAAAAGAACTTTGAAAAAAAACAGAACAGAATATTTCTGTAAATACTACTTGTCATGCACTTTATTTACTTAAATTAAGAAATTGTATTATATGATGTAAACTTCTTATTTTATCTGCAAATAAAGTAACATAACTTGCATAGTGTTTAGAATATGAAAATTAGACTAAGAATGATTAGGCAAAGGTTTTGTAAAGTGATGAATTAACTTTCACACTGTTTCAATAAAGTTGCACTAGTAGAATATGAAGAGAACCAACTAAAAATAGTCACTCTCTTATATTTCAGCTACAGTTAAGCATAGCTTTAGCTGCATACATTGGGTTGTTTTTCTTGACAGAGGTGGGACCAATTGTATTACTATAAGGATTAGTAACTGTAATTGCACATGTTGAAATACTTTGCAAATATATTATACCTACAATGCATTATATATTTTCAAATAGAGATAGATTATTTTAGAAAGATAATGCTACTCTTTATAAATTAAAAATTGCATCAACATTTTATGTGAAAAAAGATTTGCATATCTTTTTCTAGCCTGCCTTAAGCTTAGACCTTAATCTGATTAAAAATTTATGGATTAAAGTTAAAAAGCATTTATAAACGAAAGAAAAAGCTAAGTAATCTTGCTGAACTTGAAAAATTTGTTCAAAAAGAATGGAAGGCAATTTTGAAATGTTTGATAAAAAATTTAGTTAATAATATGATAGAATAAATACAGACAGTAATTTTGACAGAGAGAGGCATAACTAAGTATTAGTTGCTTAATATGAAATGTAGAGCTTATTATATTCTAAATAAAATATTAATTAAGCTTTAAATATTTATATAAAATTTTCTATTGTATATTAAGTGAAAAATTGTTCAAAAACTTTTAAGTACTCTTTGTATTTTTTTAAATTATAAAATAATTTAAAGACTAGTAATTAGATAAAAGTTTTATTTAATTAATTAATATATCAATTTTTTTAAATAACGTTAATATGCAAATTTTTCAGGTTATAACTATTAGACATAGTGTTAGAGAGTTGACTCTTTTATAGTCTATGTATAATTCTAATTATGTTTACGTTAAATCTTAGTTGTTTTACTACCAATTTATCAAGTCAATTTAAGTTTATTAAACACGAGCAACTTTAATTATAAGTTAAGAGTTATTACAGTAATTTACGAAGTGTTTATATAAGAAATAAGAAATACTTTATTAAAATAAAAAAGAATAATGAGATAATAGTATATAAAGGAAATAAGAAAATAGAAATAAAAAATAGAAATAAGAAATAGAAGCACATAAAGTAAAGAGTAACGTTGTACTATCTTTTACAAGAAAGAGAGAGATTTCTATATAGCCTTCAGTCTGTCTTTTATAACTTATAAAAGAATTTGTATTTATATCTATTCTATTACATATTTTAAAATATTTAATATATTAACTATGTTAACTATATCTATTATATTA